GCGCGGCCGCCTTATCTAAAGCCTTCCTTGGAGGATGACACGAGGAAGGCTCCGGGAACCCAACGGCGATACGGCGCGGCCGCCTTATCTAAAGCCTTCCGTGGAGGATGACACGAGGAAGGCTCAGGGTTAAGCTCCAGAAGGATCTTGTTGTATCTTGTTGTATCTTACGTGAGATCAAATCTTAGCGCAGCAATATGGCGGACACAGACCTCGGCCCTCTCTCTCCTTGCTCAGAATTGATGGGAACAATTTAAAGGGCACTTCATCCAATATACCCAAAAAGACCTAAATATACCCAAAAATATACAATCCGTGGCCAATGGAAGCTGTGCGGTGCCCATGTGTGGTGGTCACCAATGATATCCTTCTACACTGCAGCATCGGGTGCTCACTTGGTATTGAGGGACATAAAGTGTAGGGAAGATACGGCCCACACCATCACACATGGGCCGGACCGCGGACACCAGACAGGATTGACCTTTGGAATTTATTCCATGGGCACCAAATTCTCATCCGCCACTTCATGTCCCGAAAACAATTGCCATTAGCCAAAATGTTTCCAATCTTCAACCCAGCGTTAGTGATCTGGCGACCCCTGTAGCCTCATTTCCTGTCTCTAAGTCAACAGGAGGAGGGGGGCCCAGTGGTGTTCGGCTGCTTCAGTCTGACCTGTAGGGTCACCATGATGTGGCCATCTGCACGGCACTGCGGTAAAGAGCAGCTATCGGAGCAGCTGCGGTCATCCTAACCAAGTCTGGGAGTTCTCCTCCCTAAATAACAAGGTGTTTTCCCCTGCGCCCCGGGCCACTCACAGCGTTCCCTATACATTCGAGGTCAGTGGTTGTCAGTTTACAAAGTACAAAGGGGGCGGGCCTTAACCTTAACTTTGCCCTGTGTTGGGCACATTGTCACTGAGAAAGTAAGGGGAAATCTAAAAATTTTAGAGCTGTCCCCAGGGGCGTCCCGAGGCTGGGTGACACCCGGAGCGGTAACCGAGTGTCATCCCGCCGAGACGTCACCGCGCATGCGCGGCAGTATTCTGATACCTGCCGGCGGCCATCTTGGCGATGGACGCCGGCAGAGAGAGGAGGTACCAGTCACCCAGCGGGACAAG